TGGTAGTTTGATTTGTGGTACAACACTGTTTGGTTGACTAGAGCCTAGGTGGTGGGTAGAACGAGATAATGCAACATTAGTTGTTACAGGTGATGGTACATGAGTAATAGTTGTAATTGGTGGATGACAAGTCTTTTGAACTGCTAATGATGATGACGATGATGGAGGAGACAATGGTTTGCTGTTTGGTAATTGCCTAGTTTCAGATGATACGTTACAGATAGACATTCTCTCCACCTTGTTGTTACTAGTCATCAAATTGATTGGTAGTTCCTTAGAATCGGAAGATTTTGAATGATTGGATCCGTTACTGATAACATCATCACAACAATCAGTTGCCTTGTGTTTTGTTGCATAGGGAGTCGGATTGAACAATTGATAAGGTTGAAATGCAAAGGATCCCAATCTATGTGATGCTGTTGCTGGTTTACTATTTGGTCTTTGAGAAGATTGGTTGATTGCGACTCTATCCATTGATAAAGTAGTTCCAACGGCAGATTCTTCTCTATTTTGACACACTAGCTGTTTTGGCATTTGTTTTTTGATTTTTGCAACGGTTTTTCTAAATTGCCAAGGTGTTTGTTGTGATGAGAGGTCCGGGTTCAATGCTATGGTTGGTACTCTCGTTCTGATGATGATTATTAATGGGGAAGTATTATTAGAAAAAGTGGCGGTAACTGTGGTTACTTATTTTGTAGAGTGGATGGCGATCTGGAGAATGCACTTGATGTTGATGATAATATCAGTTAGTTTCTTGTTGTTCTTGTTGTGTTTTACTGATAATCGACTGATTATCTACTGATTCTCTTGTTGTTTTTCTAATGTTTTTTACTACTATTTGTTAAATATTACAACTACTATTAATAATATCTAATTTTCCACTTCTAGTTGTATGGGTGATGATTTTTTTAACAAGTCTATTTGTGTTCTTGGTGGAGAAATTGATCAACAATTCACAGATCAATCAATGAGTTGGCTTTTTGTAAAAGAGATTGTTTAATTGGGAGAAGACAACCATAAACTATTATTAACACCATGAATATCGTTATTGCATGACAAGCTAAAGTGAGAACTTACTTATCTGGACTTGAACTTACAAAGGTTGATCAAAATGAAAACTGTAAAGTGAAAGCCAATCTACAGTTTTTGAGCTTTGAAAAATGTCGTTGCGTTGCGTGATGGGTGTTGATTGTTTTTTTGATTGAATAGAATCCTCACCGACAGCCCTATAAAAGATATTTTTGACTTGTTTATTTTCAATTTTTTACTAGATAATCAACTTTTCTTAATTGTAATGTGCATTGCAGATGAGTGAAATAAAGTCGGTTATGTTTAATAATATTGAGGAAATATTCTTTAAATATTTGATGATAAACTGGTCTTTTCCAATGCTTCCAAATCCAATCCCTTCTCATTCATATAGTCCTGAATACTTTTCAAGAGAGGATCAATTGTATTATTCTGAATGGTCATGGCTTCCTTTTCCTTGAATTGAGTCCATTTACAATCACCATGCTCTGTCAATTTAATATTCAGCTTGGTACTGTCCTTGGCAAATGCAATATACATTTTTAGAGTTTTTCCAACTTGAATAGATTTTGATTTAGAAAAGTAAGCATACTTTTCTTCGAATAGAAAATCTGGATGAATCCCAATCAGATCCAATGGAATAGAAGTCTCTTCATTGAATTCTCTCTTTGCAGTTTCAATAAATGTTTCACCAGGTTCCATTCTCCCTTTTGGTAAATCAAGTCTACGACTGTGTTTCATTAAAAGGAAATCATATTTAGAAGTCAATTTTCTAAAAAGCAAAATACCACATGATATTTCTTCATGTTCAACAATTCTTCCATATTGTTCGAGTTGTTCCTTTTCTGTGAGGAATACGTGGCGATTCTCTTTGGAATTTGTTTTTTTGATATTTGCATTGGTGTTGGAAGATGATCCTGAAATAGCTTTTTGTTGTTGTGACATTTTTTAGTAATGGAATTGATTATTAATAACTTGATCAGCTTGCTTTTGTGGTAAATTGAAATTCAAATCCAGATTTGAAGAATTAACATGAAACACGATATTTCTTTGTAAGGTTTTGTAAGCTTTGTTCTAATGAAATCAGAGTGACAGAACAATTAGGTGGTTATCTTGCTTGGCTTTAATTGGGTGTCATCATTGATTGGATGAAGCTTATATCC